ACCTTCCCTCCCCCTTCAGAGGCTGGATGGGTTGCTGGGGATTGCTGACACCCCAGCATCTATCCATGCCCAAACTCATCCCCTCCCACCTCAACTAACACCCACTGTCACCTCTGCCAGAAACGTGCCAAAGGCCACAGCGGGACTCAAGACTCTGGCTGACACCAGACCAGGAGAATTACAAGAAGAATGAAGAAGTGCTGCTGAGCTGCCCTGAGGGCTTCCAGCCATCCTTCACTGAAATCAAATGTTCAAGTGAAGTCCAGTCCATCAGTCAAGGGAAACCTGTACACAGAGAAGTTTGGCGTGGGAGGGACAGCAGAGGTGGCTGGGTCCCCATTCGGTCCAAGGTGGAATGCATGGGTAAGGGAGGCATCAGGAGCTCTCCTGGCTGGCCCACTCTGCCCTTCCTGAGCAGGGGAAGGGGGGATGTGTGTGCATGGGAGGTTCCAGGCTCTCTGCCTGCCTAGGGAAATGGTGGGTGTTGCTGAAGGCAGAGCCAAGGCAGCCCCTAAGCCTTCCCTGTGCTTGCTGCAGGGCTCTAGGGGACCCTCAGTGGGGAAGGGACTGGTGCCAGCCTCAGCCCCTGAGGGTCTCAACAAGAAGGGGCTCTAGGATCAGGGTTGGGGGCAATGGCCAGAGCTGCCCGTGCCAGGCCAGGGCAGAGCTCTGGGCATGCAGGGTTCCAGCCTGTGATTCATAGGTGGGTGGGAGGTTCCTGGTGGAGGTGTGTGGGTTACATGAGGCTCCCTGAGGACCCCTGGCAACATCATGTGCAAGAGGGAGAGAAGCTGAAGCGCTGTGCATTGCACAGCTATGTGTAGTGGAGCTTGTGGTCTGCATGGCATCATGGTTTTGGCTGGAGGATTGCAGGGCTCTGACTTCCAGCCCGTGCAGCCAGGCCAAAGGCCTGGCCTCCTCCCCACGTGCTGGGCTCCCCTGCTGCTCTCTGCTGGATACCCATCACTGGAGCAGCTGGCTTTGGCTTATGGCTCAGCTGCTGTTGTCTTCTCAGGAGGCCTCAGGGTGTTGTGGTCCTCTGCGAGGGAGGCCATGGCCAGTGTGTGTTGGTGTGGGAAGCCCCACACAATCTGCTGAAAGTCAGGAAAGAGCTGTGGTCCAGTGCTGTCTGGCTTGCCACGTGCCCTGTGACCCCTCAGCTGTGCCGCAGTGACAGGGCTCGGGGCTGACTCCCTGCAGGCAGCTGTGAGCACGGGGAGCACGAGGACGCGGGTGGTAGGGGAAAGGGATGCTCCTGCTCTGGATGCTTAAGCAGGGCCTCAGGGGCAGCTCCATGGGCGGCTCCAGCTTTCAGGGTGTTCCCTTGCAGCCTGGTGCCAGCCCTGGATGTTGCAGGTTGCCAGGCTCAACTCAGGGGGCTGTGATGCCCCGGCGCCAAATGCTGAGCTCTCCATCCTTGTGCAGCTTTGAGCATTGCATGATGCCTCTGGTCCCTGGAGCTCCAGCTCCTCCTGGCCTTTCCTGGAGGGCCTGGGGGAAGCAGCACAGGCTCCTTTTTGCCCTCATCCCCTTGCCTGGGACATGGTGTGGGAGGGTTGTGGTTTCCCACAGCTCCATCCCTCGTCCTGCTGTGCCAGGTAAGGGGATTCCCCCACTCCACCCTGCTAACGCCTTCCCATCTTGTTGCTGCAGAGAAATGCCAGAAGCCCCAGTGGGACCCCAGGTTTGTCTTTACCCCAGACCGGTTGTCCTATGGCTTCAATGAGGAGGTGACAATGAAGTGCCCTGAAGGGTACTGGTCTTCTGCTACAGAGATCAAATGCGTGATGCTGAACCTCAGGGAAGGTTCTGTGATTCCTCGCAGTGGCTGGATTGTGAGGAATGGCACTGGCCTCTGGCACCATACGGAGGGGAACATGACCTGTGCAGGTCAGTGAGTGAACTGGCCCCTCTCCCAATGCTTCCAGTCTTCTCTCCCCAGGCAGGGAGAGTGGTGATGTATGTGTCCCACAGTGTCAGTGCTCTGTGCTCGCAGGGGTCAGGGCACGGTGCGGGTGTTCACTCCAGAGAAAGTTACTGCTGATGCATCCCAGATTTGTGCTGTTGGCAGCTGGGGAACCCTGCACAGTGTCAAGGAGGACAAGTCCTTGCCACTGTCCACAGGGCCCCATGCAGCGCAGCGTGCCAAGGCCAGTCAAATGGATCTGCCTGGAGGGGAACACGATAGCCCCGGAGCAGGAGGGCAGGGCCTTGCTCTGGCTGAAGGGTTTGTTGGATAAGTCATTGTTGGTATGAAAGGGACCAGTCACTGGATCAGTTGCTAGCCCCAGGGTTGGCAGCTGCAGAGAGGCCACAAGTGCTTGGTGTTACTGCCACACAGATGCTGCAGCACCCAGAGTCCCCCTGGGAATGGTCCAGGGCCAGAGGAAGATGCAGGCAGTGCCTGAGTGTAGCCTGGGAGAAGGCAGTACGGCCTCATCTGCATAGGCTAGAGAAGGAATGGTGGGGGTGGCAGAGGTTGGCTGGGGAAGGGGAGGAGTGACCCTCATGCAATGTTTCCTTCACAGAGGTCCTCCAGGTTGTCCCTGGGACCTTGAAGATCTCCAGCACCAGCATAAAACTGAAATGGACCTGCAGGCTCCCTGATGTCTGCCAGCACATGCGGGCCATGTGCCGTCTGGCAGTGCCTTCCTCCCCTCCCTGTGAGGCTGAGGAGGTGAAGGGAGAGGAGATGCTACGTGGCCAGGAGGGAACATTTACCTGCCCACCTCTGCAGCCCTTCACTGTCTACAGTGTTGTCATCTCCCTACCCCCCCACACGATCCTGTACACAGAACATCTCATGACAAAGGAAACAGGTATGCGTCCACCCACGTGAAATGTAAAGATGCCCTTTGCTTAGCAGCTCATCCTGGTCATCCACTCCCTGCGGTGGTGGTCCCAGGTTTGGGGCTGCTCAGAGCCTGTGGGGCTCAGAGGAAGGGACTGCACAGGGCCCTGGAGCACAGTACATCCCCACCTCACTCTCCCTGTTCTTGCTGGCCCTGAGCGTGACCCCGTCCTCTTGTGCTTCCAGTGCCGGACAAACCGGAGAGGCTGTGGCTGGATCCCAGCACAGGGTACCTCATGTGGAAGGCGCTGCCCTCCTGCAAAGGGAAGATCATTGGATACCAGGTACCAGGGCCACGGACTCCCCGTGGTCCCCCTCACCTTGCCAGGCACTGCCCTGCCTGGAGAGAGATGTGAGCCCTCCTCGACCAGAGCCCACCAGCTCTGCACCACTGGTCTTTCTGGTGGGGTCAGGTCCCCTCCTGACCACAGTCAGCAGTAGCAGCCCCTCTCCACAGAGCTGCCCTGAGCTGCTCCCCAGCAGCTCCCTGTCTTTCCTCTAGCTGAACATCACGGCCAGGAGAGCGCACAATGGCAGCTTCCTCGAATTCAAGCAGGTGATGGTGAATGAGTCTGTCACTCAGTACATACCAGCTCCTCAGGCACCTGGAAGCAAATATACGGTGACAGTGCAGGGCCTCACGGCAGCTGGTGCTGGGGCAGCATCACTGCTGGAATTTCAAAGCTACGTCTCAGGTAATGGTTGTTCTACCCTAGGTCTGGCTGAGGTGGCCTCCCTGTGAGCGAGCACTGAGCCTGGAGCAGCTTCCAGAGCTATATGTGCACCCATCCCGTTCCCACCAAGAGAGAGCCACCAGGGCTTCTGAGCTGGGTCGTTGTCCTCTTGCTGTGGACAGGCTGGTTGGGTGGGTTTCCAGACTCTCTAGTTGTGTATGGGATACAGGACAAGTCCTTGTGCTCCGGAGTCTCCTGCTTCTGCCCTGCCTAGCAGACGTGATGGCAAGGGAGGGCTGTGCCTCGTTGCCTGTCCCTGCAGCAGCCAGGGCAGCAGAGCATGGACACGTGCATCTACCTACACACATGCACACCACATCAAGGTCAGGGCCACTGCTGGTGTATGGTTCAGGCTGTGGAACCCACTCCTGGCTGTGTATTAGTGGCAGGGCAGCTTCTGGGCTCGTGGCCAGGGACGGCGGTCACGGTGGTGGCGGTGCTGTCGGCGCTGGTCCTCCTGTCTGCAGGGATCCTGTGGTTTGTGCTGTCCAGGTGAGTTGACAGGAGGCTTGGAGTAGCTGCTCTGCCTCAGGCCATGCTGTGCTGTGGGGTGGCTGGGGATGGAGATGGGGTTCCCATAGCTACTCCCACCCTTCTCTGGGCATGGAGGATGCAGCTGGCTGGTCCTACTGTAGCTCAGCTGTAGGTCTCCTGGATGGGGCTCATAAGCATCTTCCTCAGGGCTGGGGCAGGGACTGTGTGTGCTGAGACCCTGTCCTTTGTTGCTGTTGCTGCCACTGCTGTCCCCTGGGGTGTTGATGGGCAATGCCTGCCAGCTCATGAGAGGTCTAGAGGTGTGCAGAGCCCTCCATGCCTCTGCTGCTGGACTCAGGAGGACCCTCGGCCACCTCGGACTCTCCTCCGACTCAGGACTGTCCTTTGCCTTTCCAGGAAAAGGAAGCCCTCTCCCAGCAAGGCGGAGGAGGATCATTACACAGGTAGGGTGCCCATCACAGAGACAGCTGTAGGGCTGGGGCTGGAGCTGGGAGGGGAGCATGTCTACTGCAGGAGAGCCTGTTGCCATCCCATGGTTCCTGCAGGCAGCCCAGCTGGCTCTGGATATCCTGCCAGAGCAGTATATCCCACTCGTGCTGTTCCCAGCCAAGACCTTCCTCCTGCTGCCTCTTCCAGCAGCTCTTGGCTGGGATCTCCCTATGGTGCCAGTGAGGGCTGGGAGCTGCCTCTCCCGCTTTCACACCTGAGGGAAGCATGGTCTCTGCCCAGCCCTGCTGGGGTGTGTCCCAGGGTCCCCTCCAGTCCCAGTGCTCCTGCCTACCTGAGTCTGCCCCGCTCCTTCTCCCGTGGCCCCTGAGTCCCTCAGGCTGTTTCTGTCATCTTGTTGCTGCAGAGCTCCAGCCCTATGAGAACTTGGATAATTACTGTGTGATCAAGCAGACTCTTCTGGCAGAGGAAGATGCAGGTAGGAGAGGGAATGCCTTGCCTGTGTTCCCACACATGGCAGGGAGAGGGTGGAGAGTGGCAGCTGTGGTGGCATGAGCTCCCCACACTGCTGAGGGCATGCGGCAGCCTCTGCCCTGGGTGCTGTTGATCTCCACAGGTAAAGGTGGCCAGGCTGGAGAGCCTTTGCCCAAGCCCCTACCTTGTCCTCGGGTCCTCAGGAGACAGTCAGAGCAGTGAGGGAGAGGAGAAGATGGGGTGGACATCTGAGGCTCCGTGCTGATGGCACTTCCCATAGCCCCTTCTCAAGGTTTGATCCTCCACCACTGGAAGCAGGACCTCATATAGCTTGTGCTGAGTTATTGCTTGCCCTCAGATTTCCTTCCTCAACAAGCTCCACCATCCTCTGCCACAGAGCAAGAGTAGCCCAAGGCCTGGGATGACCTACTTGTGCCAGCAAGGATGTGTTCTGGTAGTCCTCCAGCACTTTGGCAAAGCTGCCTCACCCACATCCTGGTGCCTGCAACTGTCCTCTGAGATCGAAGCATCTCACTGGGTCCCAACCCCTCTTTCCCCATGTCCATCTAGACGCCAGCCTCTGCTTGTGTTGACCCAACCACATTGCCCTTGCAGCTGTGCTGCTGTGTCCAAACAACCAATAAATTGTTCTGGTTTGCAGGGGCTGCCTGCCCTGTGGCAGCTCCCACCTTGTTGTGGTTCTTCCTTGTTTTGTGTGAAAGCCCTGTCCCTATGAATCTTTATGGAGGAGCTCTGACTAGGCTTTTCCAGCACCCAGCAGCCCTGAGGAACCATATCTGAGAAGCTGCGCAATGCTTCGGGTTGACACTTTCCCTCCTCCCCATCCTACCAGTAGCACGGTCTCGACTAGACCTAGCTGGAACTCTGTGTTGGTCTGTGAGCTGCTTTTTGAGTGTTGGTGCCTGTCTCCCATTTTGTGAGCTACAGTTGACCCTGGCCCTCTTGAAATCCTCATCCTTTGGGACCTACTCCCTCTTGGCTGCTGCTGCCACCCCTGCACAGCCTCCAGCAGCTGCTGCCTCTCCTGCACTGCAGGATGCCAATGCCTGGTGCAGCCTGGATGCTGAGGGACAGCCCAAAGGCTCTCCTTGGTGAGGAGCACACTGCTGGGAGATAGGGCAATCAATCACTGTCTTCTCCAGCCTTTTGTTTGGCCTGGCATGACCTGCATGTGCCAGTAAAGACATGTTTTGACAGTCCTTCACATGAGCTGTCTGACCATCATTGTGGTACCTGCAGCTGGCCCCTGAATCTGGTGAAAGAATCAGAATGCCTGATGGAGCTGCTCTCCGTGGGTGTCAGGCAGCAAGGGGAAGACGGAGCTTAACCCCATGTGGCTGCGGCTGGTTGAGGAAGGGGAATATGCAGGGTTGGGACATGGAAAACAGAGGGTTGGTTTGTGCTCCTGCCATCTCCTGGATTTCTCCAGTCCCCGCTCCATATTCCCTGGGCTCTCGGCCTTATGACAGACCACCAGTAAAGGCTCGTGGTTTGGAAAGAGGGCTGTGCACCCCCCAACAGCTCCTACCTAGTCCCTCCATTGCCCTTGTGGGATCATGCTCCCTGTGGGATGCTGCAGGGAGGCCACAAGCAGGGCTGCCATGCCCTGGAGCTGTGGCTGACAGCATCCCCAGCCCTTCAGGGCTGCGGTGGGCAGCTCTGACACTTGTTTGGATCGGGTGTGTGTTGGGAAACAGTGAGTGGTGGTGCTCCCCGCGGTACATCCCGGGCAGGAGTGTGTCCTGTGCATGTGCCACGGGCAAAGCTGAGGGACAAGCATGGTCCTTGCTCCTCTACAATCCCTGTGTCTGATCATCCGGGCCTCACGGGATCTCAGATGGCACAGGTGGGCACATGGGAGGTTCTGGAGGAAGACAAAAACAGGAGGTGCTGAGGGGCAATAAGGGTGATTTAAGTAGCTCTGAGGGTTTCCTCAGGCACTCAGATGGCATGAGAGGGCAGGGCGTTCTACACCCTTGGGGACAGAGGAGTGTTGCCAGACTGAGGAGGAAGAGGAGGAAGCAGCTGGGGAGGGAGGAGCAAGGGAGGACGCGAGAGGGTGTGGACTGTCCCACACGACATCCTTGTCTCTAAACTGGAGAGACATGGATTTGACGGATGGACCACTCGGTGGATAAGGAATTGGCTGGATGGTTGCACTCAAAGAGTTGTGGTCAACGGTTCAATGTCCACGTGGAGGCCTGTGACGAGTGGTGTTCCTCAGGGGTCAGTAATGGGGCCAGTGCTGTTTAACATCTTCATTGGCGACATGGACAGTGGGATCAAGTGCACCCTCAGCAAGTGTGCAGATGACACCAAGCTCTGTGGTGTGGTGAACACGCTGGAGGGAAGGGATGCCATCCAAAGGACCTTGACAGGCTGGAGAGGTGGACCT